GCGCACTCGTTTTTAATGCGTCTTGACTGTCCTACAGTCTGACATTAATAACAAATGAGATCCCACAGTGTGACATGATCATCATGTTCGTACAGTCTGACAAGTACAATCCTAAAGGACTTTTAAAAATCGCACAGTGTGAGCCCGGCTTAAGACTATAGGAAGTCTAGTAGGTTAGACCAGTGCGCGTTCTTTCACTGCATGATTCAGTTTATTAAAATGGGTTTAGAATGATCACAAAATTCAAGATATGGGGGCAGAAATGTATATATTTTTATAATTTCATATAGTTAATCAGTATCACGCTAAGACTGATGTTTTTTCCACCAAAAAGCAGCATGATTACAAACGTGATATTGATTTTATACAGCAGTTTAATAAACAAGAATTTAATATTAAGACTCTTACGTTTTAGACACAATATTGACAGTTTTTGCTGTATTTCGCCAACATATATAATTCCAATTTGCGTCTCTGAGCAACATGACTGTGTTTCATTCCTGAATGAATCACCCGTTTAAATGATTCAGTTCAGTCACAATGACTCATTAACAGTGACTTGCTGCCACCTACTGGCAGTTTTAATTTTACAGTTCAAGTATCTTTTCATTTTTTTATAATTTTTTTTATAATTTTAAATATCAGTATTCAATGTTTTATGTTTAAAATTTCAAAACAGTATTAATGCATTTGTAACTGCAGGTTAAATGCATTCCTGTTCTGCATTAAACGGTGTGTAAATGCATCTAAATGCCACTTCAGATGCAGCTTCTGTTTCTCCTCTGCATTGCATAGGTTAATTTTGTCAGTACTGATTTCATTTGCTTGGTAACAGCGCAAATGGCTTATTATTCTAATTGACTGATTCAATTTAAGAATTTGACTGAAAAGATGATGCACACTTTTAGAAAAAAGGGCTTTATAAAGGTAAAAATACCCATAAAAGGTAAAAAAAAACAATAAAATCTTATTGGAAAAGATCTGCAAAGATTAATTTTATTGATACTGATTTAATTTGTTTAGTAACAGCCTAAATGTATTATTATTATTATTATTATTATTATAATAATTGACTGATTAAATGCAAGAATTTGACTCAAAATATGATGTACACCTTTAGAAAAAACGGCTTTATAAAAAGGTAAAAATGGCCATAAGATAAAAATCAATTTAAACTTATTGGAAAAGATTAATTTCTATCACTGCTGTGAACTGATTACCATACAGAATATGCAGAATATCAAAAACTTTAGGAGTCAGCTGTCCACGATAGTCCTTAAGATATCAGCACAATAACACACTCAGCAAAATATTGTCTAATTATCATTATCGATAAAATCTCAGAAAATATTGAGATATATTTTTTGTCAATATCTCACACCCCTAATATATTTAACGTTTTGTTTAGAAAAAAAATTAAATAAATATGAGAAGTGCCCTTTTTTCCACTTGAGCCCCTGCCCCTCAAAATGTCTGTGCACGTCCCTGCTGACAACCACTTTAAAAATACAGATGGTAAAGATTAAAGACACATGATGAATCACAATTCATCACAACTAGCTTGTTCACAAGCTGAGGTAAATACTAATAGTTGCATGATGTCATACAAAACAGCATAATTTTAACATTACATGCAAATAAAATAAACAACATAAAATGTAACCAAAAACCCTAATGTTCATAATTGATAAGAAAAAGTTAAGACTTGTTCTTTTTCGCTTCCCAAAATTGTACATTTAACAGTATTTTACTGTAAACTGTTTACAATTAACCAATTAGGAGTTTACTGTTAAAACTGTGATCATTTTTAAAGTGAATTTATATTATCTTAACAGTTATGCATTGACCCTGCTCAGTTACATTATAAGTGCCTCACTGTAACTTCAATTTTTGCTTCTTTTAAATAAAGTAAAAAAACAATTTTTATGGTAATCAACATTAAGCCACATCAAGCTTAACTTATATTGAACCTGAAATATTCCTGTAAAAAAGTTAAGAATTGCAACATAAACTACATCTTAGTGACGGCGACTTCACTGTTCTGTGCATTCTCTGCTGTATTAAGACATCAGCGGTAATGATATCTTACTATTTCCAACATGTGTCCTCTGAGGCTTTGTCTTTTCATCTGTTAAGAAGCAGTAATATGTGAGTGGCCCCAAAGGGTTCATGCTAAATCACAGTCGGAATCTGAACTCATTTCCTTTTTATCATTCTCCTCGAGTCATTGGGTACGATGTAGTCAACAGCACTCGCTCGAGGTAACGAACTTGAAGTAAACAAATGTCACCAGTCTGAACACAGCCCGAAAGAGTAAACACGCTTGAGGGGAGTCTGAAGTGTGTTGACTGTAAATCTGTGTGTGAGTCAATATGGCTCATTTGTTGCTGGAAAACATCTGCGAAGTGGCTGGTACCTGGTTCAAGTAATCCAGGATAGGCTTTGTGGATCAGGGTTGGCCTGTTCTTGGTTACTTGCACTGGGTTGCAGCAACCGAACTACAAGTTGAAGACTGAAACTCTACAATGAGGTTTGTGGAAAGTTCAATTTCAGCATCTCTTCTGTCTGCAGAAATCAGAAGTGATTTCTTTCCTTCAGTAATAGCTGTTTATTTGGTTTGTTTGAAGGTCTACGTACTGAAGAGGCCTCACGTGGATGAGTTTCTGCAGAAAATGGGCGAACTGTTTGAATGTGTTCTTTTTACAGCCAGCCTGGCTAAGGTAAGATTTCCTAAGCTTTCTTTAGACTGCATATAAACCATCTTTAGGACTAACAGCTTGCAATTTCTAGTCCGTATTTTTCAATATTTGGTCAATTAGTCAATATTTTACAGGCTCGATTTAGCGAAGGAAGTCCTTTTCAGTGAAAGTTGACATTAGCAATGTTAACATTGTAATGTTCATGAGAAAGTTGAGAAAAGTTGAACGTTATGCAAATAAGTGATGGAGTGAAGTCAGTGGAGCTCCCAGAATCCATCTCCTGTGAGATATTCTCTGAGGAACTTTAATGTTGTTAAGAGCGATTTCGCTGTTCTGTGTAATTTATATATACCTATATATTTAAAAAATGATGTTTGGGAAACTGAGCCAGAAAGTTTGCAATGAGTTTGGTTCATGCATTGATAATCGTTTATCTTGTTCATGAGATGATGTATTATGCACCACTGGTATTAATATAAAATCCTTTTCCTGCCAAACGTTCATTTACAGCAGCAAGAAAACTGCTTCCTTGTCAAAGTAGAATGACATCTTATTTTATTGCAAATTTCTCCCAGTTTTTCAAAAGCTGGGGGGAATCAATCAGATTTAAATCCATAAACGAAAATCCATATATAAATCTATATGTTTTTTGGATTGGGTTTGAAAAAAAAGAATTTATTATTTATAAGTAATTTATAAATAATAAATGTATAAGTAATTTAATATTTATTATTTCAGTTTTTTTTTTCAGAGTTAGAGACATAAGTATTTATTTATTGTTTATTTACTTTATTTCTGCAATTTTAATTAATTCATTTATTATTATTATTACATGATTAAGTTTGTAAAATTATTTTATAAAAATTATATATTACTTCATGTAGTTTTTTTGGCTGGAATTGTGTCAGATACATAAAGTGTATGTTATTTATTTATATATATATATATATTTATTTATTTATTAACACATTTAATTCATTAATTCGTATTAAATTATTATTATTATGATTACGTTCAAAAATATTTATTCAAGTTATTATTTCATATTTTTGGGGGGCTGGATTTGAGTCAGATACGAAAAATATATATTTTTTAATTTTATTTTTATATATTTTAATTAATTTAAGTATTCTGAATTCCTTCATTTTAAATTTATTATTATTTTGTTTTTTTGTTTTTGCAAGAATAGCATGCTTGAGTGCTACTGACACTCTGCTTTGCTGCAGTTTTGTAATTTAATTTTTTGTAATATATATTTTTGCAATAAATATTAAATCTTTTTTAAAATTGCTAAATATTTTAAAATGTATTTAATATCTATTAAATATACATATATGATATTCTTTTCTTTACTTTTTTTTTTTTAGTTTTCATTTCAGGACAGAGATAAAATACTGATGTCTTCTATGTATAAATGCAGACAGGGAAAGTTAGTCTGTCTGGTCATAGTGTGATTGTTGTATTGTTTCATCTCTATTTTGATCTTGCAGTATGCTGACCCTGTAGCAGACCTGTTGGACCGGTGGGGTGTGTTCAGGGCACGGCTCTTCAGGGAATCCTGTGTGTTCCACCGGGGGAACTACGTCAAAGACCTCAGCCGACTGGGCCGAGAGCTCAACAAAGTCATCATAGTGGACAACTCACCTGCCTCCTACATCTTTCATCCAGAAAACGCTGTACGTGTCACTGTGGACCTGGCATTTGATTTGACATTACAGCTTCAGAATACACTATTACTATATAAGTAAATCGCTCGTATATGCGACTAAACCTTTACTCTGGGTGACTAAATGATGTCTAATATTAATCAATGGCTAATCAATTCTCATATTTTTCTCGCCAGTGTGTGAGTTGGAGGCTAAGTATAAGTTTAGCACAGATATATTTTCACTCGCCGAACACACTGACTGAGCACTTCAGAATTTCACACTCCATCAAGCGATCAGCGCTTTTCTTTTTCAATTCATCTCAGTGGATGCGCAGCGCACCTGTATTTGACGCACCGTAAACTGTAGGCCGTCTGTACTGTACTCGCCGTCACTTTGCTTTTTTCTCACACGCAAAGAGAGAGAGTACGAGAGAGTCTTGCGTACCATGCAGAATTGACGCGCCTCATTGGCTGGCGCTCACCTATTATCGTCCCTGTTTTGATTACAGCAAATCATTTCGAGCGAACGCATGCAACCTGATTAATATTCATGAATCCAGCAGCTTGTTAATCCTTACTGCGTTTTATATTGTTCTTATTAGTAGAATTCGTAGTATTATTTATCTTATCAGTATTATTGTTTGTTTTTCCTCATTTTTTTACAGAGAAACTGAATGACCAAAAAAGCACCACCACCAGTCCTAAGTTTAGTTAAAATGACTAATATAATTTTTAATTATAATTTTATAATTTATGCATTTAGCAAGCGCTTTTATCCAAAGTGACTTACAGTGCATTCAGGTTACACATTTTTTACCAGTGTATGTGTTCCCTAATATGCATTCATATATGGTTACCAAGTTTTAATTCTTATACTAAAGTTCTATCATTGAATGATACTTGATTATCATATATTATAATGCTTGACTGACTGATATTAAGAGTGTACTTTCAGATATTTAAAAAGCTGTGCCATTTTACAAACACACACACACACAAACACACGCACACACGTTTGTAAAATATACATAGAAATATAAATAAAATATACGTTATATACCAAAGTCTCTTTAAGAAAAGTCATGTCACTCGGCGGCCATCTTTGAAATGCCTCTCGGGCATGCAAGTGCAGCTCCTATCTCTTTGTATGGGGAAACATCAAATTCTCCAAAACTGTTCGCTAAGCTTACGATTAAATTTTGATATTTGAAATCACCAAAGAAATCTGACAACAACTGTCATAAATGGTGTTTCTTTTGCTCAAATAGCGTTATAAAAAGCTTATTTTTCAGGCTAGATCAGCCAGTGCGCATGCGCAGTCCTAAGAGCACGTCTCAGAACTATACGAGTGACATGTGTTGGGTATTCTATAGTCTTTGTATATACATATCCATATTTATACTACGGGGAAGTTGAATGCTTGAATCTGATTGGCTGACGAACATTCTAAGGTGTGGTGAACGTAGTTCCAGGCAGCTCTTGACCGCATTACATGTCTGTATCACGTCACCAAATGATTTCAGCTTCACGTTTGGACGGAAACCCAGCTATTGTCGTGGAACAGCTCAGTTTGCAGTAAATGCTGTGAATGTGGGTCACACACTTAAAAGCGCTATATAAATAAAGGTGACTTGACTTGACTTGACATTTAACAGTTGTACTGTAAAATAAAATAATAAATTATTATAAATTTTTAAAAATTGTATTTAACACTTTATTTTACAGTGAAATATTACAGTTCTGTTTCTTATTGTGTTTTTAGTCACAATAAATATAATACAATAAGAAACCAACAACAATAATAATTACAGTATTATTACAGTTATATATGTATATAATTATTTATTTTTTTTAGAAAATTGCCTTTTTTTTTTTTCCCACAAATTGTGCATCCTTAGTACTTCCATATTTTTAAACAAACAAAATTATGAAGGATTTTCAGTATTATAGAGGACATCAATGATCTAAAGAGGCCTTTTATAAAGAGTTTTTTTTTTATTTTTTATAAAGCAAAAAAAAAAAAAAAAATATTTAATTTTTGGGTGAACTATTCCTTTCAGGGGATTTCTTATGCCTTATTAAGAGACCCTATTCAATGATCAAATGGTTCTTAATAAAAACAATTTTCTTTGCATAATCTAAAGAACTGCAAATGGTATTTTTATTGTTTAAAGCTACTAGCTTAAAAAAGTGTGTTTTCAGCTTGTGCTTAAAGTGTCATCTTGTAATGGTGTTTGTGTGTCTGCAGGTGCCGGTGCAGTCGTGGTTTGATGACATGACAGACACCGAGCTGCTGGATTTACTGCCACTGTTTGAAGGCCTGAGCAAAGAGATGGACGTTTTCAGTGTGTTACAGAGCCTGAGGGCCAGGTAGCATACTGGTCCAGCACTGCCTTCCAAACACAAACACCCCCTCCAGCCATCTCAGGCCGAGCCACCGTTTGGCCCTGGCCTCTAGAGGACACCACTCACCCAACGAACGCCACTCCATCTCCCTCAGTGGACCAACGGCCAACATAATTCCTTGGCAAGCAAATATATACACTTAGTTTATTTCAACTTTTGATGCAGAATGAAGAAAAAAAGCATTGTTTTTTAAGAGAAACACAAGAGTTTACTATCCTTGAGTATATTTACCAGGAAAAAGAACAAGACGTACTATTTTTGTGGACTGGTGTGAAAACACTTTGAACTTTTTTTTTTTCTGTTCAGGCTATGCAGGCAGTCTTTTCCGTGGCGTCATCTGTAGTTCCAACAACTGTGATTTACTTTTTCTCGTTCTCTCGTACCAAGTGCCTTCTGACTTGTTTTTATGGGGACACAAATGAGTTTTTGTATGCTGCATATTTACAATTCGAAACCTTTAAGCAAACACTTACTGTAAGAGCGAACGTTTGAGTCTTTTAACATTCATGAAGAGTTTTCAGTGACGGTCAGAAGTCTTCATTGGACTGAATGATATTATCGGGCAAAAGATGCCGTTATTTTCTTGGGTTCTTGTATGCCTTTGAAAATATAGCATATAAGCATTGTGTTCAAAAGAAACGTTTGCATCTATTACCCAACTGTGATTTGAATTGATAATACAATATAATGTGAAAGTTAATAAACAATCCAATACGTCAGGATCTGAAATTAATAATCATCATAATTAAAATAAAAGATGCAATCAATATGAAGAATGGCTTACGTTTGTGTCTATTTGTGTGCATTGCACTTGATTAAGTTCCAAAGGGATGCTGGGAAGCCATGAGTGGATTACACAGAATAAGTCCATTGTACACCACCTTTACAGTACAGTGAATTTAAATATGCTCGGTTTTCCTCAAGATTTTGTGTGAAGAATGGAGTGCACAGAAATGTGGGCTGTGTGAAATGTAGTTAATGAGCAAACTCTGAGCGCTCGGTTAGTTTGCTGCATGATTTGCCACGAACTTTAAGCGGTTCACTTACAGAGCAGCAACCAAAAGGCCACTTGTGACAGTAAATAGTCATTTCTGGTGGTAAAACTTGGGCGAAAAGCAGGTATTTTCTTTTTGTAGCCATGGAAATATATGTGGTGGCGGTCAGCTGTGCATTTATACATTATTAAATTATTCTGTTCACCTTAGAGTTTGAGAAAGGTAAGATGGTTTTCACATTATTTCACAAATATTTAACATTTTGTGTGTCAGTTTATACTGTAAAAGTGAAAAGTAAAATAGCTTGACCTGTACTGACTCTTTTGTTGGTGTAACCTAATGTAAATAATTTCTCTGACTTAAATAGAACCAGACCAAAATTTGATTCAACACATTTTACAATGTATTTGCGCTGTCAGAAATTCCTGATCTCAATGATTAACTTAAGAATATCCAAATATGGTACTTGGGAACCTATGTGAATCACATGACCTTGAGCTTTATGCATTGTGTGTTTTACTTCTTGGAGATGAAAACAGCGCTGTGTATTTGAGAGTATAAAATTACATTTTGAATTTGGGTGCTGTCCGAGAAATGTTTGCCTAAGGCGTCTCTGGAACGGTGAATGAAAGGAACAGCTGAATATGAGCTCTCTCATGTTGGGTTGCTCAAATGAGTCATATCTGTTTGCTTTGCTATTGTCATGCATGTGTGTGTGTGTGCAGTGTGCACCCATGTCTGTATGTGTGCTGTACACACTGTTTTATGCAGTTAGTAAGCAAAATACTCTTAAATCCTAAAGGTTGCACATTATACAGTGATAAATGCAGGAAAATTTAATTCTTTATTGTACCACCAACATATTGCATTGGGCATGTGTTGCTTCATAAACACTGATTACCTAACCGGCTGCTAAATGACATTGGGACAAACATAATTAGTTTTGCCCAAACCCTGTTGCCCTAACCAGTGTCATTGAGTTTTTTCGCATTAGAACTCAAATGCCTCAGAACTCACATTGACTCAAATGAAAAAAACATATAGCCATATATTACATGACTGTACATAAATTCTAAGTTCATTATTATCTATAATTAATGCTGATATATTCATTATATTTAACCTATAGTAGATGATAGATTAAAGATGGAACTATAGACGGATAGAAAGAGACAAATGGATAGATAGATGGATAGAGGTATAGACAGACATAGATGGATAGATGTTGTAGAATAGTAGATAGGTAGACGTAGGTAGGTAGGTAGATGGATAGAAAGATTGATGGATAGATGTATAGAGAGGTGGAGAGACAGACAGGTAGATAGAGTAATATATGTCTATATAGGTCAGTATGGATGAATGGATAGACAGATGTAGGTAGGTAGGTATGTAGTGGGTAGATAGACTACTAGAATAGACTAGGATAGACTAGGTAGATATACTGATGGATGGCTAGAAAGATGGATAGGTATGTGCAGGGTTAGATGTATACAGTAGATGTATAAGTAGGTAGATGGATAAATGGGTGGATATAAAAGGTTAGACATAGAAAGAGACAGATGGATAGACATATAGATAGGTAGGTAGATAGAGTAATATATAGATATATGACGTATAGACAGACAGACAGATGAAAAGATTTATAGATGACAGACATAGACTGACAGACATTTAGATGTATATAGATAGAAACTGTAGATGGATAGGCATACAGGTGGCTATACAGTATAGATCTTGTTAATCAGTAAAACTGCTGTTATCACTCAGGAAAGAAGTTTTTGTTCCTTGTTATAAATGCCTTTACACTTTTATTCTTTAAATGTTCTGCTTTTCTGCACAGACAATACTTTGAGAGTTTGTTCGCCCACCTGTCTCCGTCTCCCTCAGAATGGCATTCTGGCCTGCAATTAAGGTGAAGCCTCTAAACCTAAATGAAGCACCATTTTGCCACTTACTCATCTTTATTTGTTAGTGGCTGATGGGCCGTTTGCCATAGGAAGCCTCTGATATCTGTCCAAGAGCCTCTCGCAGGGGATTCGTTCGCTCTTTCTCCCCATCTGCTGGAGTGAAAGAGATTAATCACCGTCTCCTCTCTCTGGCTCTCCTGAGTGTCTGTGTGGCGTTCCCGTCTGAAGCGTTCCTTGTGATCTGAGCGTGAAAGAGCTGAGACGCAGAGCCGATGTGAGAGGAATCCAGAGCTGGAGAGAGACGCACGAGTCTCTCTGACCTCCACCAACTTCAAACGAGCTTGTTTTATATAACTGAGAGAATATGTGATAATGAAGGCGATTCCTAATTATGAACTATCAGTTAGTGTTTACTCACTCTCATGTTGTTCCAAACACATATGCCATTCTTTCTTCTGTGAAACACAAAATTAGAAAATATCAGTAATGGTCGCTTTTTTCATGTTAATGTGGACTGCTGCTTTCGAGCTTCAATAAGCATGCAAAAAGCTCCATAAAAGTAGTCCATATGACTCATGCATTTCATTATTTATGAATAATCTTCCCCTTCAGTGAGCTGTTAAAGCAACTGTAAGAAGTTGTGTATTTTCGACTTTGGAGCCCCCTACAGTTAAGTGAGAGAAATTCACTGTCGTAAATCTATCACTGTCCCAATTGCTGCCGTAAAGCAATCCACCCTTTTCGCGGAATTTCGTACCCGCTGACCAAATTTACACACTTCCAGAAGAGACCAGTGTTGCCGATTTGGGGATGGCCACGCCTGCCATGACGCACACCACAATTTCATTATAAGCATCAATCAAGATGCCGGAGACAAAAATGAACATCTTGTTTTAACCACGGACACACAAGTTATACCACAATTCATGCACAGTCATGTCAACCAGATACTGAGAGAGAGACAGAGTGCATCATCATGTCATGTGTGCTGGGATGCAGTATTTTGCACTTACTTTGTAGTAATAGTGTGTGTTGACTGAAATACGTTTGTATGAATAAAGTTTTTGTTTTTGGAGAATAATAATATCTCTTATCTGTTGTATTTGAGCAGGGATGCACTTTGGTGACACAAAACAACTTCCCAACATTGTGCCTTTCCGTCATTTCCATCATGTTTGATGTGCTTGCAGATCACAAGCATTTCCTAATTTCACTTCAGAATTTTTTGTTATATTTAATCTTTTGTTATATTTTTTATACTGTTATCATCTGTAAAGTATATATATATATTTACTTTCCTTTACCAAATTTACCTGTATTTACTTTGTTTTCATATTTGGCGACTTTTTGTGAAAAATGGAGACTTTTGAGGGTGGTTCTAGAGATTTTCTGAGGGAGGGGTTTGGCAACACTGGAAGAGACATATGGGGAAGTATGGGAAAGAAGCAGAAGCCATTTGCCTTATTAGATGTCCATCAGAATGATGTTAGAAGTGATATTTCAAGGTAAAAAACGAACATACTGCTGCAGCTGAATCGTTCACACCTGAATATAGTGATTTATTGAAAAGATCCGACTACTGAGGAAAACTTAAGAGGACTCGGAATATATCATAGAAGTCCTTGTGAATTACGTCCTCTTTTGTCATTCTGGACAGTCCCTACTGTACATTGTATTGAAAAGAGTGGCCACTGACCAGGTTATTCTGTAAAACACATGGAGGAAAGTCATACAAGTTTGAAGCAACATGAGGAAGAGTATTGTGATATAATGTTTTAGCTGAATTATTAGAAGTCCTCCTTTTCTGATCTCAACCAGTTTCAAACAATTGGAGGTTGGTCAAGTGTATTAGCCTAATGTTTTTTAAAAGACATGTTTTATTCTTATCAAGGCTGCATTTGTTTGATCAAAATACAGTAAAACCGTAATATTGTGAAATATTATTACAAAGTTTTCTATTTTAATATATTTTAAAGTGCAATGTATTCCTGTGATGGCAAAGTTGAATTTCAGCAGTCATTAGCCTACTGTCTCATAACCCTTCAGAAATCATTCTAATGTGCTGATTTGGTGTTTAAGAAACATTTTATTATTATTATCAGTGTTGAAAATCATTGTGCTGCCAAATATGATTTTTTTCCCCCCAAGATTCTTTGATGAATAGAAAGTTTTTAAAAAAACTAAATAATTTTATAAATAATAATAAATAAATATAACTTTTAACATTATAAATGTCTTTACTGTCACTTTTAATCAATGCTTTATCCTTTCTAAATAAAAGTATTATTTCCTTTTGTTTGGCACTTCCTCTAAAATAATAAATAAAAGTCTAGATTCTAAATTCTTAAATGTATTGATTTAATTTCTGATATGATCATTTTGGAATTACACAACAGACAAACATGTATAGTTTTAGCCTTCAGTTATTGGCTTTTGTGTTGGTTTGTTTCTAAAGGTTTATTTATGTGGGGTTATGTACGTAAGAGGTCAAAAGGAACTCCTGTTCTTGTCCATATAAAGTCTTGTGTGGGCATTAAGGTGTGTTCTCACCTGTAGGGCTGGACAGATACAAGCCCTTCCCTGATCAGCACACATTAACTATGTACAGAGGGAGAGGAAACCACTCAGAGAGATTCCTCATAACTCATTAATACATTACTACGCTGAACAATACCTCTGTGCAAGGCATACAGGTAAGAAAAACCTTATTTAAACGATCAATTGATCACGTACATATACAGTCCTTGAAGGATATGTTATATAATCATAATTATGATACAGTATGTGCCAAAGTTTTACATTTTTAAAATTGACTTACTTATAACCAAAAAAAACTTATGATACAGTATGTGCCAAAGTTTTACATTT